ACATAACATCCACATACATACATACCTTTTCATGTATACATATACTCATAACAACATCCCATGCCTACATATAAATTATGCATACACATATTCACACACACACACACACACACACATATATATATATATATATATATGCATATACCCACATGATTAAGTATTGCAATTAATCATATATTCATGTGACCACAGAAACAAAGTAATCACATAACAATTACCTCATGTGTATAACCAGGACCCAGTTATCACATGTCATCATAGTGTACACCTTCTTGTTGATTGTACCCTTTACGACTAGTTGAGCTTTGTTTCTAAGAATAACTCCGTCTTCATCCTTTTTATTCTTCAACACCCATGTATTGCCAATGATTGTCTTGTTTTGGGGACGAGGAACCAATCTCAAAACTTATATACTTTCAAACTGATTCGGGTTCTCTTGCATAGCAATTATCCAATCTTGATCAGCTAAGGCTTCAGACACCTTAGTTGGTTCAATTTTGCTTAAGAAAGTGGCATACATACACTCATCAGTGCTATGCTCCACTTTTTATTTGTGAGAAGCACTTTTTTCATCTTCCCTAATTCACAAGATGCACAAACATGGTCTTTTTGGAATTTCAAATCTGGTAACCCWTTCACCAAGCCATCAGAAACCAGCTTATTTGTCCCTGATATGATCAATCTACATAAAACTTCATGATTCCATGGCAATCTTCAAGTAATMTTGTAAGAACATGAGAGGAGAGTTGAGAGAGAAAGTCAACAAGTCAATGCTTTATAATACTCTCAAATTGTAACATACACTTTCGCAAATACGTTGCAATTATCCCCTTTATACGTGTTTATGTGATCAAAACATAAAATTTGGAAGCAAACCCAAATGCAATAAACTATATATGAAATAGTCAGAATCATCGTACGAGGCCCGGGGTAAAACAATTGGAAAGAAACGGGTCAAAAGCATCAATATCTACGTTACGGATGCATAAAAATTGACTTTTATTGGAAGATATTTTTGAGATATTTCTATTGTAAGTTGTATATTATCTCTTTACGAACGCGTGAGCGAAAACCACGTCAAAAACGGAGGTCCGAGCGAAAAGATATGCGATTTTTAGTGATTAGTGGTCGATCCGAGTTTTCAGCCGAGTCAACTCAGTCCCAACTTGTAAAAGTCGGTTATACATGTTATTTACCTTCTTGTTCACCCAAAACAGACTCTCATCTCCAAAACTTACTACCAAGGGTGATTTTGGCTTCATAGGGGTGAATCAAGGTTGTTTCAAGAGGTTTTGCTTTATTTTTATGCCAAATTCATCCTTCAATTAAGGTATAACTATTTCATTGGTTAATCTCTAGATTTGAAGCTAGTTAGAGATGAAATCAATGAAACCTAATCTGAGTTATATTAGTAATATGTTGTAATTAGATTGGTTATAGCCTAACTAAGTTGTTATGATGTTTGATTGATGATTTGGAGATTTCGAAAATGAAGAATATAGGTTGAACTTTGATTTTCTTCATTAATGGCTATTTTGGTGAAATT